TGGTCCATTGTCTTGGCCACCAGCAGATGCTGTGCTCGGCAAAAAGGTGTTGAGAGATTTACGGTTTGCCCAAACTATTTCATTGGAGTTCTACACAAATATTTACAAGAGCCAAACCTCTGCCCCAAGACCCTTCTGGCCCAGGTCCAAAACTAAGTCGCTGGGATCAGCAGAGACTGCTTAACCCCTTTTATGAAGTCGCTTGACAAAAACAAGAGAGGAGAAACCCAGAAGCTCCGAAACTCTGGTTTCGCAAGCAAACCGCCGCGTATTAAAATGTCAGGCGGACCAACGTGTCAACCTCCGGTGGCAAATGTCAATACAAGGGGTCCAGCTCCCCCAGTTCCCGTCAATTATTTTATTATGATTCCCATATACTCCATACTCCTCCCCGCTGTACCGTCACTCTGCTCATTTGTTTGTCATTTGCCGACTTCGAACTGCCGGCTAATTGTGGCTGCTTTTTGCTTTCTGCTAAATGCATTTTGATTTTGCAACTGCCTTTTGCCGGCGAAGGCAGAAGTTCGTGATCTGTGGCAATCGCTTGACATTTACAAGGCGGCGGACTTTTGTTTTTAATTAGACTCGAAGTCGGAGTCGGATTGGGAGTCGGGGACTGGCAGTAGGAGTAGCAGTGGAGCCCTGACTGGGTGGTCTCCGCTCCATGGCTGATTATCGACGCGCGGGCTTAGATCTTTGCCGTCGATTAAGCTGCTTAATGCCATTAACATGATTAAGAGCAGCTCCGCTGGCAGCTCCACTCGGTGGAGCTCTCCCCATGCCATCGCCCCATTGTACATAGTTGCGTGGAAAGCCCATTCAGATCGCCGGCCATTCACAGGAGTTCCGATCTGCTAATTGAGCAATTGAACTCTGATCGCAGCCTCCGGAAGATTGGCTCTTAATTCATAATCAAATGATGCGAACATACTCAAAGCTCGTGTATTGCTTTCGGTGAGTTCAGAGCTGACCGGCCGAACACTGGACACTGAACATATCCCGTTTGGCAGGCTCTGGCCAGGGGTGAGTGCTTTCGGGTCAGAGGTCAGGCTGGACGAAAACTTCTCATGGGTCAGGGCGATCAACTCGATTTCGGACACGGAAAAACGAGTTTAACTACCAATTTCGGTTCCATTTTAAGCACTCATTTCTAGAGTCTGACCTTTGAACTTAGCCCAAAAAATCCAGAACGGGCCAATATTACCAGAAATCCATTCGTAGGTTCTGTGGGAAACACTCTCGGAATTTAGCCAGCTGCCCGCTTACTTGCTTTCAACTCGTATTTTCGGAGAACTTTTATCAACGAAACGAAGGCACAGATAACGGCGGGCAAACAACCGAATTTGCCCAAAAACCTATTTACACTTAGCGGCAACATTTGTGTATCTGAAAGATACGAGCGGCATCCGTGGGATGCCATTCCAATTGCAGCGCCGAATCTAATTTTATGAATGAACCAACTCAGCCTCAGCCCCGAGGAAGTGCGAGTATGCGTAATGCAGTAACAAGTAACAAGTAACAAGTCAACACGACGACCGAAACTAAGTCCAAACTAATGAATAGAACTGCTCTCGGAGCGGCGAACAAACGAGGTTTATCTACGGGCAAATATTTGTCACGATAATAGTAATGACTGGCACTGGCACTGCATCTGGGTCGGGTCGCCCTCGAGATGGTTCCACGCTCCATGCTCCCAGATCCGCAGGTGAGCCATCGCTGCTATCTGGTGGGAATCCATTCAGAACGGAAGTCTAGGGCTAGATAAAATTGGTTCCGATGTGGAAACATCTGGGGCTTCGGACCTCCAGAGGCCCTATGCAAATGCAAATGCCCTCGGCACATCCGGGATCGCCTCTGATATACGATTTCTGCCGGGCTCAGCCGGCTGGCTAATTACTTCCACCCAATCGAAGGTGACCACTCGGACCGATCTGTGACAGAAACAGAAGCTCTGCGGCACCGGAACCCAACACGATACCCAATACCCAATACCCAATACCCAAGACTGGGGCGAAGTCACCCTCGTTTTGCCAGGAACTTAATTGCCGAAACCCAATAATTCTCACATTCGAAGCTGACTTTGATTGCCCTGTGCGGTTTCGAATTTCCAGGAGGAACCCAGCAAGGGTTGAGTCCAAGAGTTAGGGTTGCTTGGTCGCCAATAATATTTAATAACAATTGATATAAATATTGAAAGTATTATTGAGTCATAAAGTGGCAGGGTCTTCGATGGACGTGAAATTTGAGTTGGTTTGCGGCACTCCTGATCCCATGTAATCTCATCGGGCTTATCTTGGACCGCAGGGCGGCTCGTAAATAACATTCGAACTGCTCAATTTTCAGTGTAACTCTCCGCGACGATAAAGGCTTATCGCAGGTCGAAAACTAGAACTGGAACAGGCCCAAGAGATAGTCCAGCTTCGGATTTCAGATCGTAAATAAATCAGCCGCCAGCTTGGAGAAGCGATAGCAGAAGGATTTGTTACATTGCTTTACAGAAATGGCTGCCAAGATTTCCCCCCAAAGTCCAATTAAAATCATCTAGCTCCGCCCAATTCCCATTTCATGGAGCCCCACATCCTGTATCGCTTCTCACGGAAATCATTCAGAATTTTTTAAAATTGTTTCAATACCGTTTTTTCCGTAACAAATTCCTGAGGTCTTGAGAAATGCACGTCGTGTCCCCGGCCCCAACTTCTGGTTAAATATTTGTAGAATCAGTCTCAGCCATAAATTGTAATCTTCCACGGGCGAGTTGCCGCTAAAGATCCTGGCGCGGTGGATGTCACTTAAGGGTCTGTTATTGTTTTTTTAATACTTGTCCAGATGTTGCCATAGGACTCCATGTGTCAATGACTTTTTTGGTATTTAAATGCTGTGCTGCCTCGGGGTTTGTTCTCACACTGTAGTTGTCGTGTAGCTAATTTGTGATTTCTGGTGTTTTCGGTGTTGGATTGGTTTTACGCTCGCCTGAAAAACCATTTTCCGGCTATTGATTTCCATTGAGTGAAGTCGTCGGGTTGGATGACATGAAAGTGCTGGGATGATTTATTGACATGGGGTCTTTAAGCAATTGGGATTGGGGCTTGTATATTCCCACTTTTGATCCTGGGAATGTAATGGCTGCGCACCTGTTTGGCCAAGGGATATCCCAGGCTTTGCCTAAGCATATCCTGTAAGGACATCCTGCATCCGTGTTTGCCTCAGGACATCCTCCAAGGAAATCGGACTGCTCCAAAATCACGTAAACATCGCACAAAATATTATTTACTTACCGCACAGGGGAAAACATTGAGGTCTTTCCCAAGGATATTCAACTACACGGGAACAAAGCGGAAAACTACATTTTCCACAGTAATCCCCCCTCGCACAGAACGCCTGTGCGCAGGCCTCGCTGCAATGAGCGTAATTCGAAGACCGCGAGAAAGGAGAGTAGATTATCCACCGGGGAAAACGAGTGCCTCACAGATTTCCAATTCGACTTTCCCACAATGGAAAGGGGCAGCGGGAAAATTAGTCTTTGGCTGCCAATTGACAGTTGATCCCGCCTCTACCTGGGCACATGCTGCGGTTTTACATACTTTGCTTTGTTTGCCATTTAATTGCACTTGCAACCGTGGAAATCTCGACCGCAGCGGGGTCAAGTGCAGCAAGTCTGTCAAACGGAAGGAACCGAGGGACTTCTACCTGCTAGGGCCTACGCAGGCGCGGCTTCGGTTTCACTGCCAGCTGCAGTCGCACACAGGACATGGTCACCCAAGCGAAGGACATTGCCGATGGACAGCACTTTTGGCACTCGTTCTGCGGTCTAGCGGACATGTGTCTGCATTTTATGCTGTGTCAGGGACGAAGGACATTGACAGGAAGGAAGGACCAACAAGAGATCGCTTGCGACAGGCGTGAGGTTCTTGTTACGATACGGTTGCGGGAGGGTAGGGTTAAGCAGAGCTCTTAAAATTTACTGCTTCCTTTATTTGGGTACATTTTAAATGATTTCCAGTATTTGCAGTAAGATAGAAAGGTGTTAAATATAATTATTCAAGTTAGGCTGTTGATCTTTATTTTCTTTATACGACTAAAGGCAGATGCACAGCTGGCAGCGGGGAAATCTTAACAAGCTGCAGCATCTGCAACTGGGATTGAATCTTCTGGCATGTGTCTTCTATGGTTTTGATTGCCTCGTTTGCTGCTTAATCGCTGTTGACGTGCATTAATTTCGATCCCCATTCGCGGCTGTCACCCCTTTTCGGCTGATTTGTTTGGTAAACAAGCGGATTAGGCACCAGGGAAATCCGAGATCGCCCCAAGTCGGAAGCCAGCGAAGTGTCGCCCTGATTCGGGGTAAGGTGAGACACTCCGATTGGGAAGTGCTCGAAATGGTTTCATTGACAACTGTCAAAAAGACAGTTCTAAATTTGGAATCGAGTCGACGGAGGAGTCTCTTAAATTCCCACAGTTTACCCCAGGAACAGTTCTGGAGGAGGGGTTACAATTAAAATTTAATTTTAAAGCCAACACTAATTATGTTTTTTCCCCTCTAAACTAAACTAAAACTGCGCCTAATTTTCATGTTCGAGCAGGACTACAACCCCCTTGTTCGAGTACGAGGCATGTCCCTGCTGCGATCCTTGGTTTTCTTCCCCCGATCCTGTCGCAGGTGGCCCGTTTCAGAGTTTTTTTTATTCTCTCCGAGCGAACGAGGCTTGCGTGCCTAGTCCGCAACACAGAGATTTGTACGGGCTTGGTGTACCAATTTTATAGTTTCCGGATCAAAAGATCACTTCCTGCGGGAAATATGACAGGATGCTCAGGCGACTTTTGGTGGGAAAGTTTTGAAAATTCCTCAAACGAAGTCCTTGTTTTTTTTTTGTGGTTAGCTAATGATATGCTTTGACATGAGACAGAGACAACTTGGAAATCTATTAAATGGGGAGCTCTGAAGACTGTGAACTCCTGAATTTCGTAGAAACAAAAATAGATGCTTGGTTAAGTTATTAAAATCTATTCTACTGTCAAACAGACACATTTAAAATCTAGACTTTAACACACTATACTGTTTTTTATAAAGAACATTCTAGCGAAATTTCCGTAGCAATAAATATAGAAAGGTAACCATGCATCGCTGGTTCTTCGCCAACGAACGGGAGGAGTGCGATCCCAATTTGAAGGAAGATGGTCTCGGTTCGGAGAGAGAGTCTTCTGTGGTGTCAGAGACACCGCCACCGGTGCCCACCACCGAGTGGCCCTTCACTGTGATCTACCACCGCAAGCTCAGTGGCAACGAGTATATTGCCATATCCGGTAACTGCGAATCGCTGGGCTCCTGGGACCCAAAGCGCGTGGTTATAATGCAAAAGCAGCATTGCACCAAAAACATTTGCAGCTGCATCAATTACGAGGCTGTATTGACCATACCGCGAAACATTGACATCCATTACCGATACTGCGTGGTGGTCTACGACCCGGTAGCAAAGGAATCCTACATACGCTCCTGGGAAGCACAGCTCCAGCCGCGGGTCATACGCACCTGCCAGAACCTGCTCAAGGACATCGACTGCTTTGGCCATCCACACATTGAGGAGGACGATAATATTGTGGACCGCGGGTGGATCACCACAGAGTCCATAGTCCACTTAAAGTTCTTTAACGCTCCCTTCCACTGGCAGTGCCAGCAGCCGCGTCTGCTCAATGTCCTCGTAACGCCGATGCATGAGGCTGACAACGGTTGCAAAGGGGCCGCATTTAAGGAACCCATAGAGAAATCATCATTGACTCGTCTCTCCAACTACCTGGTCGGTCATTCTTTAGGGGACTCGAACTTGGAACTTCGAATGGCCTACATTGAGGTGACCAATCTGCGTAGCACCAGAATCTTGGAGTTCCAGCCCCCTTATGGGGTGCCCTGCGGACCGAATGACATGCAGTTGTTTCACTGCACAATAGCCTATCCAGAGGAGACGCTCTACCGGATAGATCTCTACACCTACGCGTATAAGGCGGCTTCAGACGAGCCGCCGTATCATTATGGCTACGGGTTCCTCCAGCCGGAACAGTTGCAGGGCAGCGAAGGCTCAGCCCAGGTGAAGATAACCTGCGCCTCCACGCATAGGCCACTGATGGAGTTGACCGTACAGTACCTACTCATCCGTCCACTGGAGGGCTTCATGTGCAACATGAGCCAGAGCTTCGAACGCTATTGGCGCAAGAGTCGCATGTGCATGGACATCGGACACCGGGGATCAGGCAAGACCTACCGGCTCGGAGCTGACCTGTTCCGCGAGAATACGATTCACGGCTTTAAGGAAGCGGCCTCAAACAATGCTGACATGGTGGAGCTGGACGTTCAACTCACCCAGGATGCACAGGTGGTGGTGTATCACGACTATGTGCTGCGCTTCCTGCAGCAGCGCATGCCCAACTACGATGAGCTGCTGGAGAACCAGGACCTGCTGGTCTTTCCCTACGAGAAGCTCAACAAGATGATGCTGCTCTGCATGGGCGGCTCGAAGCTCAAGGATCATGTCGCTGTGCCTCTGGAAGCCTTCACCTATGATCAGCTGAAGGATGTGCGTGTCCTGCGCTTTGCCGGAAGCAAAAGTTGCGAATTATCCTGCGACGAGATGCGCAACGACCAGCGGCCTTTCCCACTGCTCCTGGATCTCTTCCAGCTCGGGGATGAGGATTTGCCCATGTCCGTGGGCTTCAACATCGAAATCAAATGGCCACAGCTGGACAATTCGAGGCGCTGGGAGTCGGGCAGCTTCAAGCCCACCTTCGATCGCAACTTTTATGTGGACACAATCCTCAGAACTATACTGGAAAACGCCGGTCGTAGGCGCATCATGATCTCCAGCTCTGATGCGGACATCTGTGCAATGGTGCGCTACAAGCAGAATCTCTATCCGGTGGTCCTGCTCTCCGCGGACCCGGATTCACCGGTCCAGTATGCCGACGAGCGGGTCAGTCGGGTGAGGACTGCCGTGCAGGTGTGCAACTCCCTGGAGTTCTTCGGCCTGAGTCTGCACACCAACACGTTGCTCGAGGATATCGCTTTGATGTCCTTGCTGCGCCAGTTCGATCTGCAGACGCTGGCCTGGGGCGGAACCGCCACCAGTGCGGAGGTGCGCAATCGTCTGAGGCGGTTCGGCGTAGTGGGCATCATCTATGACCGCATCAATCAGTTGGATCAAATGGGTGAAGAAGTGCTGGGCGAAACAGTCTGCACTATCGACTCGCTGACCACGCGGCCGATTATCGATGAGGTGGAGCTGGAAGAATGGCGCCAGAAGTGCGGCTACACCCTGCGGGAGAAAATCGATCCCGAAGAATAAAGATTCCGGATTTATGTCCTCTGAAAATCCCATTTCTGGTCCCGTAATCACTCGCAAACGTCCGAGACCGACCATAAAGACAAAGGGCATTACAGGACTAAGCCGGGAATATCCCGTGGACCAAAGTTATGGCTACTGTCAACCCCTTCGCACACCCTCCGGCAATTGGCAAACTTTTCGCAAACACTCGCACTGCGGATGATAAGCTCATGTGAACTATTGCCGGGTAGATAAACAAAGGACACAAAGGAAGATGCTGCCAAGGGGGAGAGAAGGGGTTAAGGCGAAGCTGGGTCCAGGGTCCAGGTTCCAAGAGGACCTCGTAACTGATATCCCGTGGCGAATGGGTTTCCTTTATAGGCCGTTGCACACTTTGGCTACACTCACTCGAGGCTGGTCGCTCGTCTTGGGCCCAACCCCTGAATATCCTTGATATCCTTTTGCATGTCACTCGCTGCTCTCCCGGTGGGATGTGGGCTCGGTTGTTTTGCAACTTCCTCCTTCCCATTGTGCTGTTTATCATAATTTTTCAATTTAACACGGGACAGGGACAGTGAGCACACCTCACATCCTTGCTGCTTGTTCCTTGCTCCTTGATCCTTACCCCTCGATGCTAGCATATAGTTTCCAATGTTTACTTGCGCAAACATCCTTTGACGAACTTTGTCCATTGTCCAGAGTTCGCTTTGACGATGGCTAAGCCGTTATAGGACTTTCGTTTTTGCATTCTCATCGATTCCTTGTGTCCGCGTGTGTTTGCTTTTTGCCCAGAAAGGACCTCTTCCATCCGATTTCGCAGCCATCGTCCTGCACTTCCCGGCGACCGTTAAGGATGACGTTATTAATGAGCATTTTGACACTTACGTCTTGACATTTGCACAGCTGGCCGTTTGTCTTAGGACTTTTGGCCATTGGTGCGAATGGAAAAGGTCAACTGTCCGCCTTAGACGTCCTTTCTTTCCATTCAACTATCGAATCGATTCCGATTCCGCAATTTAAATAAATTTGTAATTATGTTTACTCTAGCTGGGGAGTTTGGCGTAACCAACGATTGATGACTATACCTCATATTCTTTGCTCAAGTATTAACTTTGTAAGGCAAACAAAATGTAATATTTATGCAGCAATCTATAGTAAATATTTAAAAGGGATTGGTTAGTTCAATGAATTTAGTTTCCTTTAGAGGCAAGAGGAAAAAAATGTTTAGCTAAGATACTTAATTATTACATTTGCTACAAGTTCTTAACATAAAGCCCCATCAGTAACGTAAATATGTTTCATCAAGCTACTCCAATGAACACGGCAACTCTCTCTAAGAAATAATCAAATTAATTCATATGTCCCAAGATGGGAAAACAAACTTTTTGTAGTCGGGCAGAAGGAAGCCCTTAACCCCTTACTCCTCGACACTGTCCGGTTTTAGCTCGGGGCAGCTGTCTTCGGGGCGATCGGATGACCGACCCACTCCACTCGATTCCAGCCCATTGCATTCCTTGGGCCGTCCTTTGTCCGGGATTGTTTGCCTTCAATTTGACTACAAACCATAATTTATCTTTTCAGACGTGTTGGTCAGCGCGACAATGGCGGGCTGGCCAGCGTCAAGGATTATTGATTATGCAAAGTGCCCGCTGCCCAGGACAATGCCGGGAAAAACAAAGGCTTAAGCAAAGAGCGAAGAAAGGATTCCCGGCCCAAGGAGTCTCAAGCTGGGCAAAGGAAGGGGTTGCTGGCTGGACAGTGGTCAGTGGAAGCTATGAGATGAGGCCGTGATGGAATCCGATGAGCCGGGAAAGTATCCCCTTACAGGACACAGCGCGTGTGTTTTCACCCATTAGAGAGATAATAGTTTTCGACGCTCCTCGTCCTCCTTGGCGTTAATGGTCAGTTTCGCTATTTTGGCATGGTTAATTAATATCCAGCTCCGGCCGAGTGTGAGAAAGTTGGAGGCAAAGGTGAGACTGGGCGAGGTTAGAGGCCCAATCTGTTGACGGATGCTGATGGATTAGACAAATAATTAATGATGTAGCCCATTATTCCATACAGCAACTGTAACTGTATCTGGTTTGGGAATTTACACAAACTAACCAAGTAAATACTGGCTATTAATAGGACAGGACCTTTGATTCGAACCAAACTGGTTCAGTTGAGAATTGATTCACTATTTTACGACTAATTGTTTGGTCGAAATACATAGTTAACAGCAAATATTAGACAGCATTACAATTGAACAAACAATATCAACTTCTGCCCAACTTCTCAAATCCATAGCCTATTTGACAAGTAAAATGTTTGAATTAACATATGACTTAAATTAAAGGTTTCTTTTTTAGCTAAGATAGCTTTGTGGGAACCTGAAACCTGATATAACTGTAATATTTATTGTTGATGTTTACAAATGTATTTAATTTGTAGTTTTTTCAGCAAACTATAATTAACATTGTAGTCCGGGAAATAATCAAATGTTGTATTATGCAATAATTATTATTTTTCTCATAGTAGATTAGATTATCAATTTAAATGACGACAACCATACAATGTAAATAAATAAATTAGACAAGGGAAAATATTCAAACCAATGACAAATACTAAAGATAAGAGTTGTTTATTAATAATGAAAAGTTTGAATGTTTTCCTATGAGATATTATTGGAAAATTCTCTGTTCATTATTTATCAAATTTGCTACTTAGAAACATGAAATGAACTGGATTGGTCTTGGGGTTTCTCCGCAATATGGATTTTTCCATATCTGTAAACAGAATTTATATAAATAGAACAAGAAAAGACAATAGCTTCGAAAAGCCGAAGTTTATATACTCTCATCTATATTTTTATTCGACAATTCTTTTAACAATTCAAAGTTTAAAAATCTCATTCCTACGCCAATAAAGCATTAAACTCAATTCGGAAAGCTTTCCTATGTTATTTTTTATTGGGTTAACAAATCTGCATACTTAGTTTACCATTAAAAATATTTCAAATTTTTGCCAATTTTTGACAATTTTAATGATGTAACCCCTTGTAAAATTTTAAAATTTCGAACAATTTTTGAAAATTTATTTTTTGATCGGACATGGCTAGATTGAATCGCATGTTAATGCTGATCAATAATATATATGATTTATAGGGTCGGAAATGACTCCTTCACAGAGTTTCAAGCTTCTGACTAAAATGATAATACCCGAAAAGGGTATAAAAATCATCAATAAATTCCCAGTACCAAAGAATTGTTTTGAGCAAAGAAATATTATTTCCATTGAATCGAGGGGAAGAATCTTCAACTTCTGTTTCATTCTGTGGGCTGATTTCTTCTTGATGTTTCCACTCAGAGACACAGTGCTGCTGCAGACAGTTGGTGATAAGGAGCACTTCGTTCCCCGAACGATGCGAATGGCGCTGATAAGCGCCATCTGAGAGAGCGCTGCTGAGGCGGGGTCAGCTGACCCCCTTTTAAGCACAGACTTGTGCTCGTCCAATCGTCAAAAAGTGCCTCCGAGATTGCCACTCAACCATTCTGCTAATCTATCAGTGGAGTGTCCGTCTTTGTTTTCGTTTCGTTTTGCAGGCCGTCAATTTTCGAGCCGAAAATGTAAACAAACAGTGCATAGGAAGAATATATGTACATATATTTAAAAAAAACCTCCCCACATGCTCATAATGAACAAATAAATAGCTTCAAGTACGGTGAGCATAAATATATTTACTTAAGGGTGTTTCCAACAAATTATTATTCACAATAATACAAGAGAATATACAAAGTTTTAGTTAATATGGAATGGAATTTTATTCTTGTCCAAAAATATTATACTTCACTTCATTGATTTAAATTAATTCTAGATGTAATTTAAACATTTCTTAATGATAGGTATATACTATATAGTATAGGCTAGTATATTCTTGGGGAATATATTTTACTTGTTCCGAATACCTCATTATATTACTATGGAAATAACCTTATGTACAGTACAGTACTCAAACACGTCTCTATAGTTCTTATCAGTACGCAGAGGATGCGAATTGTTGTTTACATAAGACTTTTAATAGACAGAAAGAGAGCGGCACAGTGGCTGCAAAGATTAAAACTGGCTGCAAACTGAACTTTTGTCCTGCGACAGCAGCCGCGTTCCCTGATCTTTGGCGACATCAATTTTTAGGGTGAACAATTTCAATTAGGTTCACGTTGAACCGCGATCGCGATTAACGCACCGCCACTAGTTTCTGATAATGCAATTGTTGTGCAATCGCCAGTAAGTGTTAATCGGGGAACGGGTGGTCGACTCCGAGTCCCACGCTCCGGAAGACCAAGACCAAGACCGAGACCGAGACCGAGAATGAGACAAAGGGTGCCCATTGGCGATGGACAATGGCTGGATACTCATGCGGTCGGCGGCTGCCATTAGAATCGCATTAGGGTGCCCACTCACAGGAGCATTTACAGCGGCAGCATATGTATGCCCGAGATGCAGATACACACGTACTGCGAGATACTTGAGTTGACGACGACGACGGCTGCCGCTGCTGCTTAGGATCCAAACAAAGGCGCCTTTTGTTGGCCGGATGGATGGATGGGTTCACATGCTCCTCTTTTCTTCTGTCTTCCTCCCTCTCCTCTCGGCTCTTGGCCAACCGCAAATGAGGCAAAATTGTCGCCGGCCGAGAGTTTACACACGCAGCAGGGACTTGACAAGATAACAAGATGCAACTGTGAGATATAAAAGTACCGTTTACCGAGGCGCTCGCACACAGCTTGACTATTTCCCAGATCTTATCCCCCGAGAGTCACTCAAAGGACATTAGCCGGCTGTAGCCGTAGTCATTGAAATCCCCTCCGCTGTCGCTGCCTTTTCTGGCCCATAACTCTTGGCACTTTATGCAGCCGGCTTTGTTTGGCCACAAAAGTGTCGCTGACCAGAGGCGATGTAATCGATTGAAACTACTGCTTCCTTCCGCAATTCATGTCAGACCCTAAATTCTCATTTTTAGGGCCAAAAGGATTTATTTCGAGCCGTTGATTAGTCCCTCTCTTCGAGGCAG